TCCAGCCGAATAATAGGATACAACCGTAGCTCAAATATACAAGAACAGTTCTGGCAATTCGAGTTCATTTTGTATTTTTTCCGTTTCTTCCTATTTTATACTTATTCAGAATTAGCTCATTCCTCATCTGATAATTCAAAGTAAGGAATGACTCATTTGATCCAATATAAGGTCCCCTAATAGTATCCCAATCTTTGTTTGAAAAGGAAAGAACGTGTGTTATCAGTGGGTCTCATTTCTGGAATATTCATACAGAAAATTTCTGAATAATAAAAAGTCAAGACGAAACTAGACGAAATCTGTCGAAAAGACAAACTTTTCGAAAAACTTTTGTTTTTTCTATTAACTCTGTTCTTTTTGTACATAAAATTTGAGAAATTCCGGTTTTCAGAAATGAGAAAAAAATTCTTCAAATTTCTACCGTCTTATATCATGATAAACAATTAATCAGTTGACAAATTTTTTGATATCTCTCATAGGAACCGTAATTGAGCTCAAAGTGAATCATAGGGTTGGCTAGTAGTAGAGCAAATACGGTATCTTAATTCCCAAACATTTAATCCCAAAAATCACAAATCCTCAAAAGTCCAAATCTTAAAAATCCTAGAATCCCAAAAACCCCAAAAATCCCAAAAATTTTAGATCGCAATTCCTGCATCTGTCATTGGCACGCCACAAATTCTTCTCATATTCATTGGCTATTTTGGATGGAACACTTCTGAACTGAATAGTTTTGCCTACGTGGTAATGTCGATTCATGGTGCATCTGCTACATTGGTGATGTTGTACTGCCATCATGCTTATCGGGAGTACTGTAAAGGATTGTTACGTGGAAAATTGAGTGGGCTGAAAACGCTAAATCGATGGTCACCATTTGTGTCGGTCACGTCTTCAGATAGACATCGAGGGGTACAGTAGCCCAGAAAAATGACGAATTGTTTTTGAGTGCATGAAATAAATGATGTGATTCTGTTTTGGGTACACTGGAAGTTTTGAAAGAAATTATATGTGTCAGTATAATTATGTAGAACAAAACTTTTGGGTACAAATTTTTTCAAATAAGGTGCAAGTTGAAAGATAGTAGGGACTTTAAAAATAGACAAAAGATGAAAAGACAGAGAAGAACATAACTGATAAAAATTCCTATAGATTTTTTACAATTCAAGTTATCCGTCATCAGTTTAAAAAGATGTTTAACAAGTCACAGAACTGGAATTTACGCCAAAAACTCTTTTCCATACACTTCGTTTCTTGCTGCGATGAACTTCCGAAGACGTTTGATAATAACATATTCCACATAGAAATCTGAAAACAAGAAGAAAATTCCATACAGGTATTCTTATAACTCACATAATATACAGACAATATGGAAGAACACAACCATTTCTCCCGCAATAAATCTTGTCAAGAATTTTCTTCAGTATGAAAACAGACCGAAAAGGCTTTAAATACATTTTTGGGCGCAAGGTTCGAAGATAAGATCTGTTCTAATTGTAAGATAACCAATGGTTTCAGATAAGATTATTTCAACAAAGAAAATTGGATTTTGGGAAACTCCGTATCAGATTAATATTATAAAAAGAAAACGCCGACAGTAGAACTATTCGATTTGAAAAATTCGAATTCTTTTGGGTTGTGCATGACATGTAAGGGTGCACTGCCTTTCGTATCTTCCAAGAATCCAGTTAAAAATTATTCTTAAAAAACCAGCCTGTTTGCCGCGCCTCCAGCGCTTCAAACGTCTGGCTGGTGGGCCTTCGGCGCAGCTTGATCTATTTCTTTTACTGTTCATACACTTTTTTGGTGCAAATTTATTCACGTCAAACGTTTCAGATGTCCACAAAGATTTATTTTAAAAAATTATTGAAATTATGACAGCCTTTTTATAATTCAGGTTACCATACATTAGTTTGAGTCGAAAAGGATTTTCAGCAGGCCATAGAACTGGAATTCACGCCAACATCTCCATTTCATAGATTTCCTTTCTGGCGGCAATGAACTTCCGGAGACGTTTGATCATAACATACAACATATATGAATCTGGAAACGGAAAAAAACTTTCTTACAGGTTAGATTTGTTACTCACATAAAAAAGAGAAGACGACCATAAACACAATCATTTCTCCCGCACCAAATCCTCTTAAGAATTTTACTACAGCTGCATTTTTGTCGTCTTCTTCTGGGATCTTTCTGGCGATTTCTGAGAAGCTCCTCTCATCGAAAATGTCGATTTGTGGTTTCTTGGTAGTTTCTTCTCCATCTTCACTTATTTTCAATGTGCTTGTCGAAATTTCAGCTTTCAGGTACTTGTGATAATCCGATGCAATACAACTTGTGACGAGTACTGGTAGAAAACAAAGCATTGCAAACGAGAGAATCATTGAGAAAACCACAAAGTTTTGCGCATAACCGAGTGATGCGTAGTTGTAATGGAGAGCTCCATAGAATAGATAACTGTTGAATACAAAACTCGATGCGCCAAGGATAACGTTCATGGTTGATGGTGGCTCAGTAACAAGTAACGAAAGTGTTCCGAATAGTCCGAGCGATGATATGAAGATCAGAAATGGACGGATTGGGATGCATCCCAGTTTTGGAGATTTCAATCGAATGGTTTGGCCAGGCATACCTGGAAAATTGAAAGTTAGAGGGAGTTTCAGAAAAAAAGCCTTTAATTTTGAAACAATGCGATAAGAAGATGTAGATTAGCTCAAGAAGGGATGTGGGGGAAGATTGAAAGCGGATTTTGATTTTGGAATTTTTGATTCCGAAAGTTTCAGAATATCAAAAAAAAAGCTGAACATGTCATTTTGAAAACTTGGATGATTCGAAACTACGATTTCAAAAAATTGGTCATTTGGAAAACTTCGAAAAGTTTCAAAGTTTCGTGAAACTAGAAATAATCGGAAGTTTGGGAGATTCCACATATCACCTATTTTTTGGAAATTCGAGAAGTTCAGGAACTTTAACAATTCGGAACTCCGAAACTCAGTCCAGTAGTCATGAGCTCAAATGCCCGTGAATTCTTCTTTAAAGGGGGGCTCCGACCAAAAAATTTTATTTTTTTTGTTTTAAAATGTTCTCGAAGCAAGGTATTTTATAATGCTATTACGAAAAAATTCAGAAAAAAGTGGAAATCCATGAGTAACGCCGACAAAATTGAAGCGCCGCTAAGTTTTCGTCAACGGGGGACTAGAAAAATCATGAGCTCGGCCACGCGGCCACGCATTTTTCAATGCATATTTCGCCGTTTTCAGCCGTTTTTTCTGTAATTTTCGTAAGAA